CAGCCATGTAAGGAGTTCACTCAGCAATTAGCAAAGTGGCCGACTGAAGCCAAATGCTAAGATTTCCTATACTTCGGAAACATTCATCCTCATGTTTTATACCATCTTGAATATATTTACTCATTTCACATGAAATAAGATTTTTCATCTGCTTAGTTTAACTTTTTATTTTTCCTTTTTGTTTTTCCAGACTAAATTAAAAAAAAAATACAATTTTGGGGCTAAAGTACTGTGCGCAATGGTAAGTTTACAAGTACATGAAGTGACAGATTTTTGATTAAAAAGTAAAACTGAAGGTCAAAACTTCATCTGCATCAAACCCCCAGATCCAGAAGATCTATGAAGGAGGAGTACAATGGGGAAGTTCAAAAGTGGGAATTGGGAAAGAATCTTGTGACTAACTTTTTCAACACAATGAACGTAAAACAACATTAGCATTGTTTAAAATCAAATGAAATAAATAACATCTAGCCTTTTTCATATCATTAACAGCTATTTCTGCTTAAGTTAAAGATTATTGCCAGGAACACTGAGAAAAGGCTCATTTTAACACTATGCCATCTTAACATTAGTCTTTTTCTCAGACATGAAGCACAGAAGGCAAAAAACAAAATAAAGCCACATTTTCTGTGAATACAGAGCCATACATTAAACACATTCCATAAGAAGAAACAGACTTGACCATTGTAGAGCTATGATTTTCTTATGCATCTCCAAAAGAGGCACAGATATCCCATTATATGGTTTGGTGTATTCTTGCTGGAGAGGTTACATTATTCCAGTACTCAGATTGTTCTATGTTTATCCAGAATGAAATAGCACTTTGCAAACCTAAGTATTTTGCAAATATTTAAGAAAATGAAAGATCATTTAGCACAACTTCTGTCAGAGTGATCTGCAACATATTACACGAAAGAGAAATCTTCCTATCAGCATAAACTTAAAATTGTTTTGTTTTGGTTCAAGATAACAAACCAGACACATTTGGAAAGCAAACACTAGGTTGGACTCTGTTATTCACATTAATAACCATCAAAAAAATTGAGTTGGTTTCAAACAAGGAAAAAAGGTTAACAAAGGAAATGCTAATGAATAACTACGTTGAATCTCAACAGCTGCTACAGTATTTAAACCAAGTTTAGCAGTCAATTGTACCTCTACTGTGGGTGAGGGCAAGTGATTCATAGAGAGATGTTACGGTGACTTAATCCACGCTATTATCCCACTCAGCAAGATAATTTGTTAAACTGAAAGCTTGGTTGAGACTTCTAAGACTTTGGTACTCTTGATTCTTAGATCAGAAGACGACTGGTTCTTCAATACTGTAAACCAATAGTGGGGTACAAAAACTATGCAACCCCAAATAATACATCAGGGCTTCCTAGTGGTATAATAACTGGATAAATACTGCAAAAACAGGCCGTGACAGTATCACACCACATAACTGTTCCGCAGCTTTGAGTTCTGTGTTCTCACTTACAGAAAGATTACATTCAAGGCGGTTTGGGGACTTTGTTCGTTTTTAAACTTGCATGTGCACAAGTAAATCTGGAAGCATAAAAGATCCAGGATGCAGCTAGTATTCAGCGCTTTCCTACAGTCTAGCAGAACTTAAAACCATTAAATCTTTCCTGAAACGATGGGACAGACCTTTATCCTATTGATGTATCAATTATTATAAAGGGGAATAAATGCCACAGTAAAGGTTTATTTATTCAGATGCATCCACGCTATGGATTTTGGTTTGTGCGTGTCTCTATCAGTACGCCAGTCACTTCTTTACCTGCCAGTAACAAAGGAGATACACCAAGAAGTGCTAAACTTGATAGAAAAAGAATTAGGAGTATTTTTCTCCCCCTTAAGCCCTGATAACCATCTCTGAAGTCACTGGTTTTCCATCCTGCCTGTCCACTCTGGACGTGCCCTCAAACTGTTTTGACACTGGGCAGGGTTTAAACTGCAGCTACAAGACACAACCGCTGTCTAACCTATTCCACATGGTAGTATTCCGCAATTAACAAGCTACCGTAAGTACACCAGCAGCAATCCTAACCCGAATAATGCAACACCCTAAAGCAATCACCCCAGCCAGTCCAAAAGCAAGGCTCACGGGAGTCACGCTCTCAGACTTCCCTTTAGACAGACAAAAATGTCAATAACTGAGCAGCTACTCAGCAATTTCTCCTCCTGATTTCAGTGACACACCTTGGTAAGAGCAGGGAAGCACTTCTGAAGGGTGCAAGGTGGTACTTAGTATTTATAGAAGCAAGTTACAGACAGCAGGAGCTAGCTACAGGAAGACCACAAATCCCTTGCCTGATGCTATGGAACTCTCTTCATATCAGAAACACTGCAATTTTAATTGTGTTATGACCAACAGAAACTGTGATTGAGACCAGTGCTACATGTCAAAGCCAAAAAAATCCTCCGAACAACCTTGGGAATGCTCCAGCACTGTGATCTACCCACTGCCAGCAGCAGCGGCAGATTAACGCAGCTCTGGCAGATAACGGACTCAACATTGCCCACGCTTCACTTCATGCAATTGCCTATGCTGCCGGAGTAAGAAGGCCACCGGTTCCGCCAGCAGGAACTGCTGCTTAGCCCAGTCTCAGAGCATCTAACGGCACACTCAGTAACCAGCTATTCGGATCACACTATCACTCTAAACACACAGGAAGAAAAAACATCGTCAAAAGACCACTGTATTTGTGTTTTTATGCAGACAGAAAATGCGCACCCTTAGCGGCAAAAGTTTCGCTTGCTTCTACATCGCACGACCTCAGATGACACTCATTACCTCATCAAGAAGAGCAGTTCTCTGTCAAATTTAAGGCAACTAATAAACTCAGCAAGGCAGACAAGCACTGAGTCTAGAACAGCAAGAAGGGGCACCACCTGTTTGGGCAGAGGATCATCTCACTCAAAAGAGGATGCCGGCAAAGCTTTTCAGGTGCCTGCTGAAGCCGCCCACGTAGGCACGCTTCACAGCCAAGCAAGCGGACGGGCCCGCTTCCTCTTATTTCCAGCTCCTCAGAACGCAGCGGCAGCAGGAGGAGCTCACGGCGAACTAAGCACACGCGGAAAAGCAGCGGCTCTGTAGAGACGCACGGGCGGGCGCGGTACCTGCCCTCCCCTGCGCACACCCCCCGAACCAGCCCCCTCGGCCTCGGCACCGGGGGAAAGGCCCGTCAGAAACCCCGTCCCTCGGAGAGGAGCGG